GGATAGAGGGGCTTGGAGACGTCTCATTCACAGGGTTGCCATGAGTTGGGATCAACTCAAAGGCAATTAACAACAAACAATCCCAACATTATGTTTAACCTGGAGAAGAGACAGTTAAGAAGGGATATGACAGCCCTCTTTAAATATTTGAAGGGATGTCATATTGAGGAGGGCGCTAGCTTGTTTTCTGCTGCTTCAGAGAATAGGACGGGGAACAATGGATGCAAGCTACAGGAAAAGAGATTCCACCTCAACATTAGGAGGAACATCCTGACAGTGACAGCTGTTCAAAAGTGGAACACATTCCCTCAGAGATTGTGGTGGAGTCTCCTTCTTTGGAGGTCTTTAAACAGAGGCTGGATGGCCATCTGTCGGGGATGCTTTGATTTTGAGTTCCTGCATGGCAGGGGGTTGGACTGGATGGCCTTTGTGGTCTCTTCCAACTCTATGATTCTATGATTCTATGATTATTGAAGTGACAGACCTGGAAAAGTTATTTTTCAACACCTCCCAGGATATCCCAGCCAGCCAACGTAACCAAAACATTATTTTTTGAATGAAGAGTTCTAATGAAGACCCAGTTGTTTGTCATTTTAGCTGTCCATGGTATCCTTAGTATTCTTTTCCAGAACCACATCTCAAATGAATCAATTTTGTTCCTTTCTGCTTTCTTCACTGTCCAGCTCTCACAGCTGTACATAGTAATAAGGAATACAATGGCTTGTACGATTCTAACTTTAGTGTTCAACTGTATATCTTTAGTCTTTAGGATTTTGTCTAGTTCTTTCATAGCTGCCATTCCATTCCTAATCTTCTGATTTCCTGACTTCAGTCTCCATTCTGGTCAATATTTGATCCAAAGTATGGGAAATCTTTGGAAATTCATAAAGGACAAGAATGTAGTACCCCAAATTACTTTATTAAATTTTACTCCTTATAACAGTCTGTTGCTATGACCTATAAAAGCTTAAATGTAGGCTTAAATTTTTAGGATCCATAGAATAAAGTTTGGTCCAAAGTCATGGCATAATCCTTTTTCTTTTCCTTTTTTTTAATGGCCCGAGAGCAGTGATTCCCAAACTTTGGTCCTCCAGCTTTTTTGGATTTCAACTCCCAGCATCCCTACCAACAATCAGGAATTCTGAGAGCTGAAGTCCAAAAAATTTAGAGGACCAAAGTTTGCGAACCAGTGCCCTAGAATTTTAAAAAGTTAGCTTTTTGGACTACAACTCCCAGAATCCCCCAGCTACTTTGGCCCTGCTAGCTGAGGGGTTTGGAGAAATGTATTCCAGAAAGTTTAATCCTAAAGATCTGGATGGGGCTCAGGTTGCAACAGATTGCAGGTCGTCTCTGTTTATATGTGAAGAATAATTTTTAGTGAGCCATCTTAATTTCCAAAGTGTTTGGAGGCAAAATTCATACTGGAGAGAATAGTTTGCTGAGGCTGGAAGAGAGATTCTGGATCCTTTGCCTGGTTTGTTTCAGATCTTCTACAGAAAGTCTGTAGGCCCTGTTGTAGACTTTGGTTGGCTTCAGATACTCTTTCTGTTCACTTCCCCAAGAAGCCATCAATCTCATCACTACCATTTCTTAGGACGTTATCACACGGGGGAAGTCTGCTGGTTAATCCACACAAATCCCAAACAGAAACTGGATTTGTGCCTCATGATTTCACACGACGTCGCACAGAAACTGGACAGAAAGTGGACAGAAACTGGTGTTATCAGTAGTTTTGAGGAAATGCATTTGCGAAATTACAGCAATTTCGCATTTACCGTAATGTGAAAAGCAAATGCGCATTTGGGAGCATTTCCCTGCTTTTCCCATTGTTCCAGCGAGCATTCCTCTATCTGCGCATGTGCAAGAAGATCATTTCTAGTACATTTATGGGCTTTTCTCACTTGTGTGTGAATGTTAAATGCACTTATTGTAATTTCGCAATTAAGGTAATTACGTGTGAAAGCCATTTGCAGAATCAAGGTTCATTTTCGGAATGCCTCATTTCCACTTTATTATCGCTTTCTGGCCCACGTGTGATAACGTCCTAAGGTTGCTGCAAACTCTGCTAAGGAAGAGAGAACCAGAGCATTTCACAAGGTGGCAGCAGAAGGTAGCTTTGAAAAGTAAAACAACATCTGGCAATACCTTAACATTTGGTAATTTGAAGGTAAAAAATGTCTTCTCTCACAATTTCCAAAATAACAGGGAGGAAACAAATGCCTATACAGAACAGTTTAAGAAGCCTTGGTTTAATTTGTCTTTGCACAATTATCTGAAAGAATGAGCCAGGGAGAGGAATGTGTGGCACATTCAAATCTCACTAGCTCATCTTAGGCTGCAGCCAGACTGAAAAATTAATGCAGTTTGGCACCACTTTATCTGTCATGGCTCTATCATCTAGAATCCTGAGATTTGCAGTTTGTTGTGGCACTTGAGCTTTCCGTCACAAAACTACATGACTCAGAATTCCATAGCATTGAACCATGGTAGTTAAGGTGGCGTCGAACTGCATTAATTCTGCAGTGCGGATGCAGGCTTGGAGATCTGGTTATTCACTCATTGTACTTTCGACTACCTGGATGTCAAGTCTCCCTTTAGTCATGCTGAGACTCAAGATATATACTTCTGCATTTGAAGAGGGAGGACAGCTATACAAAAGGCAAACTCCTTCAAGTACAATTAGGCAATATTTTTATTAGGGCTATCAAAAGTTGCACATAATTGCACATGTTTTCATAGTCTGTCTTTACCTGCTTAAATGTTGCATGAAGATGGGGGGAAATTACAAGACAAATTTGATAATATATGCTTTTCTCTGTGGTCCAATATAATTGTAATTGCAGAGCCAGTATGCTGTAATGGTTGGTTGCTGGACTAGGACCCTGGGAGACTAGGGGCTGAATCTCCATTTGGCCATGGAAACCCACTGGGTGACTTTAGGCAAGTCACACTCTTTCAGCCTCAGAGGAAGGCAAAGGCAAAGGGCAAACCCCCTTTGAACAAATCTTGCCAAGAAAATCCTATGATAGGGTCATTTTAGGATCATCATAAGTCAGAAATGACTTGAAGGGTCCTCCAATAAGTCTGAAAAAAGATTAGTCAAGTCATGCACTCTTAGTCCCATGTCATTATAGGTTTGCCTTAAGATCTCCATTTTAAGTCAGAAGATTTTAATGCTGTAAGCCACCCCGACTGACCTCAAAGGGACGGGGTATAAAATTATTATTATTATTATTATTATTATTATTATTATTATTATTATTATTATTATTATTATTATTAGTGACTTGAAAGCACACAACAACAACAACAAATTGTGTCATTGTGGTACTAGCAAAGGTGGTGCTTAATTATAGATTTTACACTTTCTCTTATGGATCAAGCAAGCTTACTTTTTCAGAGAGTAAAACAAGTTCCTATGCTGACTATCAGTTTCTGGGAATTAAAAAAAAGGTGCATAAACTGAGAACCCTCGTAGTGCAATAAAGAGCCTTCAGAGTAGCTGCTGATGCTGGGAACAGAATCAGACCAAAGTGAGGCTTCATTCAGTGCAATTTTCTATTGGATCTTAATTGAGTTTAATTTTAATGTATACCAGGTCCTCTACCGCCAGCATTCTGAATTGCATCACCTAGCCAGCATGATGTAATGGTTTGAGTGCTGGACTCTGGAGGCCAGGGTTCAAATCCTGGCTCAGCCATGGAAACCCATTGGATGACCTTGGGCAAGTCACACTCTCTCGGCCTCACAGAAGGGCAATGGCAAACCCCCTCTGAATAAATCTTGCCAAGAAAATCCTATGATAGGCTCACCTTGGGGTTGTCATAAGTTGGAAACAACGTAAAGGCACACAAAAACAACAAAGTTTAGAGCAGCCTCACAAGGTGAACCCGTCCACAGGGCTGAAAGGTTTAATACAGCATCACTTTATATTGACCCAGATATGTCTTTGCTCACTGAAGAACCCTTCCCTAGAAATCTGCAGCATGCCCCTCCTAAGAGCATGGAAAATTTCAGATGCAAAGGGGGAGCTTCCAGAAAGCTAAGGGCAAGCAAGGATAACTGGAAAAAAAATACAAAATATGTTACTGTGTTGATTTGGCTGTACTCAAGCCAAGAGCTAGCCTCTTGGTGAGGCAAGAAGAGACATCAAGTCAAACATAATGTTCCTGATTATAAAAACTAAAAGAATGTTTAGAAACTTTGTCATGCCTGCCTTGCTATTCATGTTTAGTTTGAGACTGAAAACTTCACTGATTTTGGACACGACACAGCACATTTTTAAAAATCTGATATGGTTAGGATCTCTCACTTTCTAATTTTTAAAAATAGTCAATTTTTGAGTAAGTAAAAGAAGTAGCAGCCACTATTTCTAGTCTTCTTCTCTCCTAGAATGATGGCATAGCATCAACTATCCTAGTTTGGCAGGGACAGTTATTATTACGTAATCCTTTGTTGTCCAATTTTTCCAGCTGCTTTTAAAATGTCCCAGTTTCCTCTCCTTCTCCCACTTCTCCCCTTTGTCCCTAGCTTACCTTGATTGCTGAAAAGTTAAAAAGTGTAAAGTTCTGCTTAAAAGTTCAAAGTGAAAAAGTACTTTGCACTCTGTTAACTCAACATGAGAGGAGAGGGGTGCAGTGTTGCCTTTCCCAGCAAATTCAGGCAAAAACAAACTGCTTCAGCCTTTCTTAGCTTGTCTCTTCTTCCTCATCAATAACTTTTGCCATCTTGACCACTCTTCGATGTTTGTTGGTCACACATGTCTTAGTTTTCACCTGTGAATAGTTTAGTATAGTATAGTTTATTGGCAGGAGGGATTGAGCATATATTGGAGATTATTATGTTTGTTATGTGCCTTCAAATCATTTCCGATTTATGGCAACCCTAAGGCAAACATATCATGGGGTTTTCTTGCCAAGATTTGCTCAGAGGTGGTTTGCCATTGCCTTCCTCTGAGGCTGAGAGTGTGTGACTTGCCCAAGATCATCCAGTGGGTTTCATGGCCGAGCGGGGAATCGAACCCTGGTCTCCAGAGTTGTAGTCCAGCACTCAAACCACTACATCGTGCTGGCTCTAAATATGGGTTTGAAAATACATATTTTCTGAAATAATGTGCAATTCTGCTCTCATAGGCAAAGGGCTCTTTAAGGCTGTCTCCCTGTGCGTCAACATCATTGCAGACTTTGGCAGGATTCCTTTATACATTTCAATGACTGCTTGCCATGTTTTCATTCAACTAGACAGTGAACAGTAAACAGCTGAGAGACTCATAATGGAAAAATTCTGTCAATATGTTGTTCATACTGGGGTGAAGGGAGATGAGGAGCATGTATCTGTGGAATAACGGCATAGTCTATTAATTGTTTAATTAAATTATATCCCATTTTTCTCCCATATGGGACCCAAAATGGCTCACACCATATGTTAAAACTATACAGCTAAAAACAACCTGGAATACAATTTTTTTTAAAAAAAGCATTAAATGCAATCCTCTTCAATATTAAGTATTAGTTTAAAACAATTAACAGTACACTAAAACAAAGGCAATGGCAAACTTCCTCTGAACAAATCTTGCCAAGAAAACCCCATGATAGGTTCATCTTCAGTACTAAAGACCAATCTCTTTCGACAGACTTATCCAGATGATTTTTAAACTCTGAATTTTAAATGATTAATTTTAAATGTGGATCATTTTAATATGTGTATATGTTTGTCATTTTGAACTGATGTGTATTTTAACTGATGTGTTTTAACTGATGTTGTTTATCTGTTCGTTGTTGACTGTTAATTATTATTATCATCATTATTAGGGTCCCCGTAAGCCAGAAATGACTTGAAGGCACACAACAAAAACATTAATAACAACTGCACTAACCCAAATTGAAATTAAATAGATTAAAAACTGAAATTAAATTAGAAACTGAAGGCCTGTTCAAATAAGATCTTGGCTTATTGGCGGTAGGAAAGCAGGGATGGAGTCAAGCGAGCCTCCCTTGGTAGAGATAGCCTGTGGGGAGCCACTGAGAAGGATCTCTGCTGGATCCTGACCAAATGTAGCCTTGGTTAGAGGTGGGCAACTTCTCAAGGCTGATGGCTTGATTAGTCATTGCAGGAGCTCCTCTTCCATTGCAATTCCAGAGGATGTAGCCTTGCAACCAGAGGATGTAGCCTTGCAATGTCTTATAGGCAGGTCTTTGTGATGGTGGGGAAAGAATTGCTTGTGGTTCAGCTGATTGCAGAAATATGGAGAGTCATGGTAAATGTTTTGGACAAAACCTAGTTAACCAGTAACATTTGGAGCAATGAGGTTAAAACCAGCAACAATAAATTTTTCAGCAGGTTTCAAATTGTTCCAAGTAGCTGCAGCAATTACAGCCATTCCTATTGGGATTCACATCATGTGTGGCATTATTGATAACATGCATGTACTTTCCAGCTGCCCTAATTTGGCATGGATAGACACAATTAATCCTCTGTCACCCACTTTTAAAATGTCCCGTTTTCTTTCTCTCCTCTTCCCACTTTCTCTCTTTGTTCTCAACTTCAATTGCTGCAAACTGAATTCAAAGTACAATAGCAATTTGGAGTCAATTAAATCAGTGAGAGAGGGGAGGAGAGGAAGGGGATTTTTTAATATTGCTTTGAGCTCCTTGAAGGAAAGGAGGGATATAAATATTATTTGGAATACATTACAGAGAAGCACATTAACTATTGCTATTCATCTTAGCCACAGAATGGAGGCACATGTTACAAGGACACAGGAGTGTCTCTATCCTGTTCTTATTTTTGTAAGGGGTCAGTCACACTTATGTTTTTTGCAGAGAGATTCGCATTTGTGAATTGATTCAAAATTGATTCCCACTATGTTTTAAGGCCGCAAATTTCTCCATGGCATTTAAATCCGATTTTAAGTTCCTATTCACCACTGTTCCGGATCAAAATGGAGGCCCCTCCATTTCCTGAATGGTGTCTGCATGATCCGAATCGATCCAATAGCTTATTCTCACTATTGGAGATGAGGATCATTGTGGTTCTTAAAAACAGAACTGCTAAGGGATCCGGTGCCAAATGTACCAGTTTAAATGGACTTTTTGGTGCCCCCCCCTCCGCAAACTGCACCGGGTACAATCGGTGCAAGTCTGAACTATGGGGAAATAACCCAGTTTTCAGGTTGGACGGGTTCCCACACTCAACTCTAACTGGATTTTTTTAAAAGCCAAAGAGCCTATCCTGCCTTGACCCTTCTTTCTAAAACCGTTTGGAGCCAGCCAACTGTAGCTATTAACAATGAGGATGATTGTTATCACAATTAATGCTCTTTTGAATGGTCACTCTGGTGCTTATCTTTGGAACTTTGCAATGTCACATACTGTACGTCTCGTATTCCATGGTCATTTGGTCCTATAATAATTTAGATTGTTGCATTTTCATCTCTATAGGCTGGTATGTATGCATATTTGCCAACTCAAACACAGTTGCAGGTAACAGTTCACACAAGGGCTCTAGTTCATGATAGTTTATGCCACAATAAATCTAATGCATTACAAAATGCTTTGTATGTTTGCTGACAAGGAGAAGGAAAGGCATTTTGACAAGGATGCTGCAAGAGTTTTTAAGAGGATGGGCTGAGTCCAGATTCTCATATTAAATTTGTTTTAACATTGTAGTATTAAATGAAAAATAACATTCAAAAAAGATCCCAAATGAATTGAAAAGGCATAGTTCATAACTGTTACAGCAGACTTTAGAATAAAGTCATTTTTGAACAATAGCTCTGAGCATCTACACTTCACAAAGCCATGTCTGCTGGCACAAGATTCTGGGAGGTGTAGTCTTTAAAATGTACCTAAGTTCTGTATTATAGAATGGTAAAACTAACACCACACAGTTCAGAATCTGGCCACCGTCAACCTCAAATGTGTCCCCACGTATCATCCTTTTCATTTGAATAGGAATTGTGCACCTATCACAATTGTTTGAGAGCCACCAGCATTGGACTACAACTCTAGAAATCAGGGTTCAAATCCATCCACAGCCATGGAAACCCACTGGGTGACAAGTCACACGCTCTCAGCCTCAGAGGAAGGCAAAGCCAAACCCCTTAGAACCAATCTTGTCAAGAAAAACCTTGTGATAGATTTGCCATAAGGTCACCGTAAATCAGAAATGACTTGAAAGCACAAAACAATGCAATTTTTACTGTATCCTTGGCTCTGCCTGCTAGGTTTGCTGGGAGTTGCAGGTCAATGGTATCTGGAGGACCCCAAATCCTCACCTCTATATTACTTTAGCACTCAGCTCTTGCTTAATGTGTTCCAGAGTCCAGCTCTCAATGCAAAGTGAAGCAAGGTACAATCAGTCCTCCGTATTCACGGATGTTTTATCCATGGATTCAAGCATCCATAGTTTGCAAATATTTAAAAAATATATACGGTAAATTCCAAAAAGCAGTCCTTGGTTTTGCCATTTTATATAAGGGACACCAGTTTACTGAGCCATTGTATTTGATGGGACTTAAACATCCACATATTTTGTTATCCATGGGGGGTTCTGGAACCAAACCCCAGTGGATACCAAATGCCCATTAGTTCTGTTGGTTGCTGTTGCCTGGAAAATGAGCTGCACTTCTTCCTCTTTTATCAATTTGACTACAATAGCGGCTTTGATTTTTTTTTTTTTTGCTTCACCCAGGCTGGGGTCTTGACCCCATTGGCCAGTTTTTTATTGCTTTGCCCACTTTCCTCTAGAATTCCTACATTCTGTACATGCTCAGAGGCATTCCCACTTTTTATCAATTCATATTTATCAAATGTATCCCCACATGTCATCCTTTTGATTTGAATAGGAATTGTGCATCTATCACAATTGTTTGAGAGCCTGCATGGTGGTTTGAGCATTGGACTACAACTTTAGAAATCAGGGTTCTTTTGCATTGAATGTTCAATACAAATTTGAGGGCTCAGCCCCCTCTATCCAGTCTGCCCCTGGCTCAGACTTGGCCACATAAAGCAGTGTTAACACGAATAAACCCGACTATGGTTTTTCATCTACCAATGTGGAATCATTTCAAAAAAGAAAAGCATAGTTATGTCATTTTGAAGCCAATTCTTTTGGCATTCAGAATAATGGAGGACCAGTATGAATCTAAATTCTTTGCTCCAATAGCTGCAGGCTCAATGGATGACTTGGAGAAAAGGCATCTCGGGTCATAAGGGAATCACACCTCTGCTGTTTAGATATTTCCCCTTATTTCACCCATCCCCACAAATGCAGAAAGCTCTCTTATATTTGCTCATCTTATTTATCCGTCCAAGCTAGTAATATCAGTTCTGATTTATATCTCCTCCCTTTCTCCTGGGATTGGGACTAGAGAAGGTTTACAACAGGATTCAAGCAGGTACAGATTAAAGCATATAGAGATAAAAACAGAACAAGAAGCATGCTTTCCAACTGTCCTAATTTTGCAAGGACAGTCTCAATCCTCTGCTCTCTCACTTTTTCAGCTGCTTTTAAAATGTCCCAGTTTTTTTTCTCCTCCTCTCCCTTTGTCCTCAGCTGACTCCAATTGCTGAGATCAAGGTACAAAAGCTTGCAGGGGTATCTGTGTTGGCCATTTAGCAAATTCAAACAAAAATCCACTAAACAGTGATACTTTTATTGGCCAACCAAAATGCACAATATGCTCATTGCAAGCTTTCAAAGCTCCACTGGCATCTTCATCAGGCAAGATGTTACAAACCAAACAGGAGAAAAAATTGGAGCTGTTAGTCAGATGCTTGCATTTTTGCTGTTTCTTTCCTTAGTTAAGATGGTAAGTGGAGGGTATCTTTTGCAGGCTGGCCCCTCCGCCTTCAGTCCATGTGGCTGTTGGGAGATGTACAAAGACCAAGAAATTTAAAGTCCATTTGCATCGCAACAATGAATATGCCTCCATTCCTATGAGGTCACAGGCCTCTTTGTCCTCTGCCTACAAGGTTGTTATTGTATCCAATTTGATTGGTTTGGAATTGTTATAGAGAAGGATGAAAACAATGATAGATGTAATCAAGTGTACATTGTATAGGTTGGAAGT